TAATTTACCGCAAAATGCACAATAACCTCTTGAACAGAGAAACATTTAAAGGATAACGCGAGTTAATTAAATCTCAAAGCAACTGAAAAAAGCCCGAAGAACAGACTTGCTTAGAAGGACACTACTAAGTTTATCAAACTCTTCAGCGATAGTAGATCCACTTTAGGCGATCTCCGAGGACGACCGTGGAATTCCGAGTGATGGGGGGAAGGAATTCGGATCGTCAGTGAAGCATGCCAAAATATGAACATAAATATTTTTGATACGTCATAGAGAAACGCACGCCTGAGTGATTTTGAGAGATGTCCCTAAAATTATTTTACTCCGTAATTTTCCTTAACAAACGTGCTACCGTTTCTTGACTTTTTTAACCTGAATTTTGGGGAGCATGTTGACCCTTCGATTTCGGGGCATCCAGAATTCCAGAATTGGTTCCTCAAGATCCCAAAATTCTGTACTTACACGAACATAGTTTTTATTATAACAGCAGCAAAAAACAACCCAGGCTGGGACCCACCAGGTTTGCCGGTGCAATCATGCGTTTTTGCACTAAACCCGCAGGTCGCTAATAGCAGGAATGATCCCTGCACTGTAGGCCAACACTTGGACTCATATTGCCCATACTTTAGCCTCTTCCGACATGCAGGGGAAAGGGCGTCAGTTGGGATGAAGGATTGTATTATAGGGCCACATGGATCTCCAGGTACATGATTTTCATTTTTATGCGTTTTTGCATATACGTAAATTGCAAAAATGCAGATTGGGAAGAAGCTGCTTGTGCATGTGTGTGCGTGTGTCTGTGTGTTCGCACTTCTGTTTTTGTCACCCACTTTCAACTCGAAAACCAGAAAAGCTAAAAGGCTGGAACTTTGGGAGTATGTGCCCATACCATACGCAATCCCTTTCGTTTTAATATCATCCCCCGCGGGCGCCTGTTGTCGCGTACGAATGCTTTAAAAAAATATGCAAATTTTTTGGCGGGAAAGAGATCTCGGGAATCAGACAAGGTAAAGGGCTAAAATTTCGTTGGGATATTTTCTGTTGATGTGTTAGCTAAAGATTTCAAATTCAGCCTCCAGGTGTACGCGGCACTCACGTAAGGGGGTATGGAGGTTTCGGGAAATTAGCTAGCTCGGGAATCAGGCAAGCTAGAAAGCTGAAATTTTTGGGAAATGTCCCCTGTCCAAGTACAATTTAAATGTTTCAAATCCAGCCCTCAAATATGCGCGGTTCTTTCGGACAAGCCCGTGAAGGATTAGGCGGAGAATTGTTAATTCGGCAAGCAGAAAAGCTGCAAGACTGAAATTATAGGGAGATGTTCCATGTTTATGTGCAATTTAAAAATTTAAAATTCAGCTTCCAAGGCACGTGGAGTACCCACATATAGGCATGTAAAGGTTTTAGCGGGGAAATTGCTAACTCGGTAACCAGAAAAGCTGTGAGGTTGAAATTTTGGCGGAATGCTCCCTGTCCATGTACAACTCAATTGCTTCAAATTCAGTTCCCAGCTATGCGTGAACTCGCGTAAGAGAGTTTGAAAGTTTCTGCCGAAAAATTACTAACTCGGGAATCAAAAAAGCTAGAAAGTTGACATTTTAAGAGAATATTCCCTGTCCAAATACACTTGAATATTTTAAATTCAGCCTTGAAGTATGCGTGGTTCTTACACTTGAAAGTACTGGCGAAAAAATTTCTCACTGGACAATTAGGGTACACTTTTAAAGAACAACTGTTAAATAGAAATTGCACATTTAGTTTATGCAAAATTTATGGTGATTTATGCTAGTTACCGCAAAAGGTAGATGTAAAGCAACAACCATTCATATAGTTAATGATCTGACTACTTCAAGTCTGGCGCAAAAACACATGGTCGCACGGGCCCGCCCGGTGCGTTTCAGCCTGGGTTACAAGAAGTCCGGTCGCTTTTACGGTGAATGCTTGCTTTTGGAAAAATGCAAATTTCCTAGAAATAAGAAGAGGATTATGAAATAATCACAATGCGCTCGTTTTTGAGTTTGAGATAAAGTTGAGTATTTCTCACACTGACCTGCAGGGAATTCACTTCCCAGCAGAATTAAGACCGTACTTGAAAGTAGTATATTACAGCGAACTTTTAGCCTCGCACCTTGTCGAATAAGCGAAATAGCCACTTCGCCACAATCATCTTTGGATTGCCCTAAGTAGTAGCGCAATAGCAAATCGTTATTGATTTCAGGTATACGATTTCCCCAATGGGCGATAAATTTGCTGACAAAATGTTTCCCGGCAAGTTCTCGAGTTAGCTCAATATCAATTTGATGCGATCACACGCGCTGCACAAGCGTGCGCGGCTGCTGGGTTTGAAATCTTTAGCTCGCACATGTACAGAGAATATCCCTGCAAAGTTTCAGCTTTGTACCTTACTTGGTTGCAAAATTGTTTCCCGCCAAAGAAATCAGCATATTTTGTCGGGAGTCCGTACGCGAGGTCTAGGCGCATATGAGCGAAAATTTTAAAACGGTGAATGACACACGGGGTGGGAATATGGCCTCAAAACTTCAGCCTTCAAGTTTTCCTGGTTGTTGATTTGAAAGTGGGTGACAAAGTTCACTCGCTTCCGAAAAAAACACACACAGACAACCTCTCGACAATATGCGTTTTTGCTGGCTGTAGCAGCGCTACAACGCTGCACAGCAAAAACGCGTAAAAAGCAGAAAGACACTACTAAATAGATAAAACGTGATTGTAATCCAAAAATTAATTGTTCCGCCTCATTTTATCGACAGAATTGGCTAGGCTTTCGTTTTTTTAGAAATGCTTTTATGATTTTGCACAACAGCACCCGGCGCATGTGAATATCCCAGCAATATCTCTAACACGGGATATCCACATTGATTGCCTTAGCTGCCCTGGTGTTCCTTACAGCGGTTGGAATTCACTGGAGTAGACGATTGGTACGTGTTACCACCCTCAAACATAAATCAGTTACCTCAAAAAACATTGTTTATAATGAGTTAAATTCAGATAAACATGGTAAAAAGGGCCTATATCTTGTCAAAAAATCCATTCTCAGCAACCATCCCTCGACATTAGTGAGAAGCAGTCATGCCAGGTACAGCAGCCATCTGGGCCGGGTTGCTGACCCTAAGATTTCAAACTTTCCTCAAAAGCAAATTACCAGGAAGTCATTTTTCATATCCAATTCACGCACTTCGACATACTCTGACAACAACGAATGCAGAAGATGACGATACATTGTTGATGAATGCTTTCTTCTGCTGATAAATGAACAGTGAGCGTGAGCGAATCACTCATAAATAACAACATTAAAAATGAGGATACCTGTTCCCTTTTTTCCTTGCGCAGTAGCAACAACCAAAGCGATGTTTATTGTATTAAATTGGGTGACAACGTACAACTATCTCTTTTATATTCTAAAAAATGTCAAATTTTAATGCAGGTACAACTCTGTAGTAGAGCAGCTATTCCGTCTGCTACACAGTCATTCATTCCAATGGTAAATTGGCACTGGCATATGCTAGAGAGACAAAACCGCCATCAGCTTGCTTCTAGAAAACCTGCAAAAGAAATGGCCATCTGCTGCCTTACTAGCAAATT